GTTCCTGCATTGCTCCGCATGCCAATAAGGAAATCTTTTCAAGCTGTCATCGATGGCGACTTAAATATACATACATATGTACATACATATACATACATATGTACTTAAGTTATTTTAAATATGTATGACAAAATGACACCTTAAGGTCAAGTAATTTTCCTTTCACTTAGTCACTGAAATGAGTTTCGTCTTCCAATTGACAGTGTTAAACTCACTGTATTTAGTATAAACAGCAAAAGCTGAAGAAAGCGAAAGCCGTGCTTTGCACACCCCGCTTTGCTTTGTTTTCTTGTATTCGTTTTTTATTGCTGCTGTTATTTTTTTTTTTTTTTTGTAATAGCTGGTGTAGCACTGTTCGGCAGTACTTTATGTTATTTGTTAAGCCTATTTGAGGCCAAATTGATGACGTCGGTAATGTGCAAAACTTTAATAGAAATACCTTTGACTACATCATTGTTATGCAATTGTATGAAACAGCGAAGCGTATGCATGTTTGTACATACATGTTTATACATTTATGTACATAGTATGTACTATATATGTACATATATTGAGTATACTCGGCTTGTTTGTGCAGTTTTAAATTATTACGTCGATTTTTATGTGCGTTGAGCATAAAATTTAAGATGCGATAAGTTGCATGGAATTATTTTATGTATTTGTTGTATGATATGCAGCAGTGGCCTGTGTTTTGTTTATGCTTATGTGCTTATACAAATAAAAATGTTAAAACCAGCTTGCGACTTCACGGGGCAAATACGTAAATTTCACCACAAAATTGTTTTCTCTGCGATTGTATTTTCTTCATTTGGTCGTTATTATAATTATCTGATTTCCTGATTGCTTCTGAACTCCAAATGCATTTTCAATTTTTAATTAGTTCCCCTAAACACTTACAACGATACAAAGCTTGATCAATAGTAACTAATAGTAAACCAATATTTACCTTATAAGGATCTGCACAAACTCCTTAGAAGAGATTCACCAAGGTAATTGTAGGGATGTACCTTGCATCAAGATACACTGGAATTCCGTCCGCTCAGACGTGTACTACCACACTGTGCAGTGAAACTTTCTTTTTGCTGCCACCCGAAATATTGGAACACGCATTCATGAGTAAACAAAACTAGTTGATATATGCTACAATTATTGCTGCCACTGCTGTCGGTCTTCGTGCATACTGATAGTGCCAACGCTGCTTGGAAGATTGTTGCCGCTCTTTACAGTCAACTTCAGTTGGCACTCGAAGTTTTGTTTACAATTTCACATTTATTTGTGACCAAACTGGTTTACTTGCAATCTCTCAATGTTTTTTTGCAAGTTATATCTTCCAATCTCGATTTTGTGATGTATTTTCTTTGACTCTAGTGAAATTCCCTTCGTGTCTAATTGTATGAGTGTATGTGCACGTCCACTTGTGCTCTCTCAAAGCAGCCACCGCGTCAGCTGATCACTTGCTACCAGGGAGGCCAACTCTTTTAAGGCTAATTCCCCGAAATTCCTGAAACAATTTTCCTATTTTCAATGAAATTCCCCCGATATGAATTTCGCTACATATTTAAAGCACTTCATGCTAATTTTTAATAAAAAAAGAGACAACAATATCATTAATTGTGATATATAATAAAAATAAAAAAAATCGAAAACGAACCAGAAAAAAGAGCGTCAAACGTACTCGTGGAAAAAGTGAAAAATGTCGCTATCAGTGTTGCCAGAAAGTTTCAGGCTTATTGCTAAGTTCTTCGAAAAAATAGCTAAAAATAGCCAAAACATTTGTTTCATATCCAAACAAAATAGCTAAAAAGATGTTCCTTCAAAAATTAAATAATTTGACTATTATAACACAAACAAATATGAACTTAAACATTTAAATACGTTGAATTGGAGTAGTAAAATACCTTATAATTATGACCACGCTCGGAAATATACTTTTTTCTTGCTTCTTTGAATAGGTGATCTTGTTTTGCTGGTTCATGACCTGGTACCAGTGTTCGGAATGTATTCCGTAATCGAAATGTGTCAAACTTTGCTACATTCACATACACATACATGCGCATCCTATTTGCTTGCCTTTTGATTGGTCGAACGTGTTTAAATTTCTTTCTGTTTTGACATTCAAGGTTTCTCAAGCAACAACAAAGTACATGGCTGGGTTGTGTTTGCTCTACTGATATTACCTTGGTTGCAATTCATCAATTTAAGCTTATATTTTATGGAAAATTACACACAGCAGCAATCTTTGCGATTGTCAAAAGTTTATATGCATTTGTCAAAAATTTCACTAGCCCCATGAGCTACTGAAATTTTATTCACCTCATACTTGTCAAAAATTTACTCTCCGGGAACTTTGTTACCGATTCACACACGCCCTCAATAGTAGATGCCACAGTATATACAGCAATACACCTTTTTGACTACTCCTCGGGGGGTAAAATCTGATCAGGGCTGATAATGAGAAGTAACATGAATTTTGCTGATTCAGAGTTGTATACAAAATTACTGTATTTATTTTCTAATCTTCAGATATCCAGTTTGTAGCCAGAGGCAGTGGCATGTAAGGCTCAGTAAAATCTACTCATCATGTTCGAGCAGCTCCGGGTAATGGACCATTGGATGTGCTAGCGGATCGTATGACCACCATAACCAACGGAGTCTCCAAGCAAATGCATGTCCTGAATTTATCCGGTAGCAATTCATAGCATTTACTGATGTACATAGGTGGGTATGATTCATATTTGTGACATTTTATATTTTGATGTTAAGTATTTTTGAGGAGCTCCGGAAGCCTTAATTATGTACTTAACTATTGAAATTCTTCTTAAATATTGTTACGATTATCCTTGAAACCTCGTCCGGATTTCCCAAATCTCTCGGATCGTATCGCTGGATTGTTAAATAAATGTTAACGATCACCAAATTGTAGTACAATTAACTTTATTGTACAACAATCAATTTACAATACTCGCTAATACAGTAAAAACAGTTTACAATACTTGTTAAAGCAATAACAATGCTTTACTAAACTTGTTAACACAATTAAACTTATAGCTTGCTTATCCGCAACTCACTTCTCTGCTCACTCTACTTGTAGCTTGCTGACTTGTAACTAACCCACTCCGCTGTGTGGGGGCTCTTATATATCTGCGCTCGCACTCACGGCAACTCTAGAATGTTCTGAAGTTCATCGCTCATTCTCTTTCCCTCGCTGTTCGCAGTGTTCATCCAACTTGACGTTTCACTTTGTGGAACATTCTACTTCATTCCTCGAACAATCTGCCTATTTCTCGTTGTTCGCTTCGCGTTGCCGCAGTATTCGCCACACCGCCCTCCACCTAAGTCTGATCGTCCCGATCAGACACACTTGCTGTTCCAAACGCTGCAAGCCTTTCCAAGTGGACCACCTTCATCTTGTTTCTTGGTCTCCCAACGGTCTGGATCCGATACACTACGTCATTTAGTCGTTTTACGACCTTATACGGACCTTCCCAGTTGCATTGTAGTTTTGGGGACAAACCTTTCTTCCGTTCTGGATTTTACAGCAACACCACATCTCCTTCTTGGAAACCCTCGGAAGTCATCGCCTTATCATACCTGGCTTTCATCTTGTCACTCATAATTTGCGTCTCACAAGCGCATGTATCTCTCTCAGCTCCTCTTCCAGGATGTTTGACGTCTCTTTTCCAATTCTTCTAGCATCACCAGTTACTCCAAACTTCACGTCACTAGGCAAACGGAGCTCACTGCCGAATACTACCCTTGCAGGAGTTTTACCCGTTGTTTCATGCACTGCTGATCGGTATCCCATCAGGAACAAGGGTATGCGGACATCCCAATCTTTTTGATTCTTGTCCACGACCTTCCGCAAATTATCTTCCAGGGTTCGGTTGAACCGTTCCACCATGCCATCTGATTGTGGATGAAGAGCCGTTGTTCGAGTTTTCCGGATACCCAGTATCTGGCACATCTCTTGGAACACCGCCGATTCAAAATTTCTTCCCTGGTCAGAGTGCAGCTCTATAGGTATACCGTATCCCGCAACCCAATTGTAGGTGAATACCTCCGCTACTGTTT